AGTTTAGAACAATTTTCTCAAGAATGATGTAAATATAATATGTTTTAATACAAATTAATTTATAGAGATTAAAGTACAAACGGTTTAAAGTTTCTAATAAAATTTACCCTTTCCGAAATTTTTATATGTATTAGGGGGACCGGAAAGTAATGTTGTTTCGGAGCATTAAATATTCTTTTATCTTGAGAACTAGTTGATTTTTTTCCGATTCATTTTCGATCTTGCATTAAAAGGTTGTTGCTAACAAGGGTGAATAGGGTAAACTAACTAGTGAAGGAACACTTAAGCTTCGCTTGCCTTTTAAAAAATCATATTAATTTCAAAATTCGTAATTTTAGTTAAATGACAGTGTCAACATATTTGTTACCAATTGCAAATTATGTATAAAAAAAAATTGTAGAGAACTTACATAATATTGTTTTAAAGTTTTGGAGGTTCAAATAACCATTAACATCACGTCAACATTGTACCGCTAAAAAATTGCTTTTGCCTGCTCAATATGTATGGAAATACACTTCATAATTACCTATGCGGAGAAAANCAACATATTAACTCATACTGTTCATTCACTGGGAAATCTATGCCCAGTAAAGGAATATGCCTGTTCCCTCACTTGTTTGAAGTTGTTTTTCGTATTTTTAACATACTTTTGATGCGGAACATCATTAAAGGTACAATAAAATTAAAGTTTATCTTTTATTTTCGTTAACAGTAAAGGAACACTTGTTCCTTCACTGGTTTTTCATCGCTTGGTGATCCAGTGAATAAACACCATCTTATCTCAGTACTTTATTATGCTATGATGCTTAAAAAGAATAAAACGTAACTTCAATAACTATATTTTGAACTATATTCACAGTGAGAAAAATAAAACTATTACATGCAATTAATTTCACTTCAAACATTTAAATACAAACACTCACCTTATTATTTTTTCACAGTGAGAAAAATAAAACTATTACATGCAATTAATTTCACTTCAAACATTTAAATACAAACACTCACCTTATAATTTTTTGAAAGAAACAAGGTGTTACAGAGATAATAACAAATTCAAAAATTTTTCCAGAAAACTCTATTTGACCAGGTAATCCAAAACATTGCTAAATGACTCTTATTGTTTGGCAGTAAGCTATTGTTACCAATCAATCTAAAGAAAAACTTTCAAATTCTTATTTTTAATCAATATATATATGAAATGTTCCTTCACTGGTTGGTTTACCCTACATTATTGATTAAAAATAAAATTTCTATAAAATATATCAAATGCACCGAAACATCAGAAACATAGTCGGCCCCCCTAATATATTTGCCAATTAACTTTAAAGTTTATGCATTGATTGATTACACTGACTGAGCAAAACTCATGGGATAGCAGGGCTCTGATTTGTGGATGGACAGCACGTGTGACCAACGCCACCTGGTGGCCTCCGCGACGGTCTCAGTTGTGTGTTAGACATTGCTTGAAGTGGCAGTGTGAGTGATCAGGTAAAATGCAACGTCGTCGTGAGTTGACGGCATTCGAATGCTGCATGGTTGTGGGTGCCCGACTCATGGAACATTCCATTTCGGAAGAGGTTCAGGAAATCGACTTCCCAAGGTCAACCGTGTCGAGAGTTTACCGAGAATGGGTGAATGAGGGTGTCACAGTCCACAACAGACACCATACCGGGCGTCCACATGCCCTAAATGACCGAGACAGGTGAAACCTGAGACGAGTGGTAACTCGAGATAGGAGAGCAAATGTGCAACAAATCACGGCTGAATTCAACACTGGTCGTGATACTGACGTGTACCAGTGGACAACCCGTCGGAACATGCGTGTTCTCGGGTATGAGAGCCGTCGCCCCACACGTGTGCCACTGCTAACCCAGCGTCATCGAACAATTCGGCGTGCATTTGCCACCAATCACCACGGATGGACACTGCAACAGTGGCGTAACGTGATCTGGTCTGACGAATCACGTTATCAACTAATCCATGCTGATAGGAGGCACCGTGTGTGGCGCACACCGCACGAAGCGATGGATCCACAGGCCGGTGGCCTATCAGACATGGTGTGGGGTGCATTTTCGTGGCATGGAATTTGCCCCCTGGTCGTTCTGAATGCCACATTGACTGGTCAGTGGTATCTTCAGATGCTTTGAGATCATCTCCACCCTTTTGTCATGTTTCAACACCCTGATGACATTGCTGTGTATCAAGATGACAACGCAGCCCCACATCGCGCCAATATCGTCCGTGCCTGGTTCGACGAGCATGCAGGGGAGATTCAACGACTGAATTGGCCACCTCGAAGTCCTGGTATGAACCCCATTGAACATATCTGGGATGCCCTCGACGTCAGGCTCAGGGCATTGAATCCTGAACCCACGAACAGGCCACAATTGGCTGCCGCTCTGCAGGATGTGTGGTGCCAACTACCTCCGGACGTGTTCCAGAGCCTTGCAGACTCACTTCCACGCCGTATCGCTGCACTCCGC